GCTTTACATGAGTGATATATACACATATGAGAGGAGATGATTATGATAACAATATAGCAGATATTGAGGAGAGAATTGATACAAAAATATTAACGACAAGATATTCTATTGACTCATTCCTTTACGCCCCCGCAAGATGAGGCTCGTGTGCGAGACCAATCTTGACTCGTAGTAGATCAAACCGAGCTCGTGGTAGTGGCTTCGTAAGAGCATCCGCTAGCTGATCGAGAGAAGAGACGTGAGAGACTCGGAGAAGGCCATCTCGAACTAGTCCTCGAATGAAGTGATAGTCGATGGCGACGTGCTTCATGCGAGAATGGAAGATTGGATTAGCACACAAGTACGTTGCACCAACATTATCACAATAGATAACCGGCGGTGATGTATGTTCAATGCCAAGCTCCGAGAAGATAGATAGTAGCCAACGAAGTTCAGATGCAGTAGAGGCAATAGATTTGTACTCGGATTCAGTGGAAGATCGGGCCGCTGTTCGTTGTTTCTTCGAAGACCAAGAGATAGGATGGCTGCCAAGGTACACAATGTGAGCACTCGTGGAAGTGAAATCATCACGATTACCTCCCCAATCGTCATCTGAGAAGGCATGAAGATCGATGGAATTCCTAGAGGACATGAAGATGCCTAGAGATGATGATCCAACGAGATAGCGCAAAACACGTTTGACCCCTTGCCAATGATCTGTTGTTGGCTTATGCATGAATTGTGAAAGCTTGTTGACTGCAAAGGCGATGTCGGGACGTGTGAAATGAAGGTATTGCAAGCTTCCAACCACGTTGCGATATTCCGAGGGATCATCGAGCGGAGTGCCCGACGTCAACATGAGAGATGTCGTAGATGACATCGGTGTAGAGACGGGCTTCGCATTGAGCATGTTTGTCCTCTTGAGAAGGTCGAGAATGTACCGACGTTGGGTGAGATAGATGCCGGTGGAAGAGTGTGTTACCTCGACGCCGAGAAAGAACGAGAGGCGACCGAGATCTTTGAGAGAGAATCGGGAGGAGAGCGTTGTGATGATGGATTGGCAGCGGGCTGCATTGCTTCCAGTGATGACGACATCATCAACATAGACGAGAAGATAGGTGGTGGCATCGGCTTCTCGAAGAATGAACAACGATGTGTCGGATAAAGAGTTGTGAAAGCCTATACCAACAAGGAAGTCTCGAAGCTCTGTGTACCAAGCTCTCGGAGCTTGTTTAAGCCCATAAAGAGCTTTGTGTAGCTTACATACATGAGATGGCCGATCACGATCTACAAAGCCGGGAGGTTGAGTCATGTAGACATTGTCCATGAGTCGGCCTTGCAGAAAGGCATTGTTCACATCTAGTTGCCGAAGAGACCAACCACGAGTCACTGCAATGCTAAGAATGAGTCGAACCGTTGCCGGCTTAACCACCGGGCTAAAAGTGTTGTGATAGTCGATCCCAGGGCGTTGGTGGAAGCCTTTTGCAACAAGTCGAGCCTTGCACCTGTCAAAAGAACCATCAGCATGTCGCTTAGTCCGGAAAACCCATTTGCATCCGACAATATTGTATGAGACATTCATCGGAACCAAATCCCAAGTCCTGTTTTTCACGAGGGCATCGAATTCTTCCGTCATGGCCTGTCTCCATTGTGGTGATTTGAGAGCTTGGGAAACACACGTGGGTTCAGATTCTATAGATGGTCTCGAGGCTATAGTGTTTACAAATTTGGTGTTGGGTTTTGTGATGTGATTCTTTGATCTTGTTGTCATCGGATGAAGGTTTCTTGGTGGGCAAGCAAGGTGTTGGGCTTCGGATGTGGATGTAGTTTCGGTGGGTTGAGGTGTAGGGCTGGGTTGTTGCGTATCTGTGATGGAGTGGGTGGCGTTTGGTGTGTCATGAGAGGTCGGTGATATATGTGTTACGGAGGGGGGGTCGGGTGGTCGTGTCGGTGTTGAGGTGGCCGAGGTTGATCGCAGCGAAGTTTCCGGCGACGAGGGCGCAGCAACAGGAGACGGCGTAACGAGTGAGTGACTCGGGACAAGAGTGTGAGACGGTGACATCGACTGTGACGCCTCACCCGACGGGGATGTGCCGGGAGATGATGTCGACAATGATGTAAAAGGAAAGGTTGATTCAACAAAGGTCACATGACGGGAAGAATAGACACGCGAGGTTTGGGGTTGAAGACACAAAAAAGCATTTTGAGTTAAAGAGTAACCCACAAAAACACACGGTGACGAGCGAGGTTCGAGTTTGTGATGAGAGTATGGGCGAAGCCAAGGAAAACAAAGACAACCGAAATTTCGGAGTTTGGTGTAGTTGGGTAATGAGGCAAACAACGATTGAAATGGCGAGTTGTAGGCTAAAACTTTGGTTGGGAGACGGTTTATAAGGTATACGGCTGTCGGAAACGCAAATGTCCAATAGGACAAAGGCATTGATGCATGAGTAAGGAGTGTTAATCCCGTCTCCATGATGTGCCGGTGTTTGCGTTCCGATATTCCGTTATGCTCAGGTGTATGTGGAGGAGTGGTGAGATGTGTGATTCCATGCGTTGAGAGAAAGGATCGGAGAGCGATGTATTCGCCTCCGTTGTCCGAGTAAAGGGTTTGAATTCGATGGTTAAAACGGTTCTCAACAAGAGACTTAAAACGAGGAAAAATGTCGAGAACTTGAGATTTTCGTTGTAATGGGTAAAACCATGTATAGCGAGTGAAATGATCAACGAAAATCACGTAATATTTGAAACCATCGAAAGAGGCAACGGGAGAAGTCCACACATCTGAAAATACAATTTCTAAAGGTCGAGATGATGAAATGGAAGACACGGAGAAAGGAAGTTTGTGAGTTTTATTCATAGAACACGGGGTGCATGGCAAATGCATGCTTTTATTGGATGACAAAGGTAACGAAAAACGTTGAATGACCTTATTAAGAATATCAAAAGAGGGATGGCCTAGCCTAGAGTGCCAATCCGAAAACGTGGTATTAAAAGTGGAAAAAGCTGAAATATTTGAGGGAGAGACATGGGAAGAGATCGAGGGCCACTCATATACGCCGTTCTTAAGGTTTCCCGCGGTTAGCCGCGCCCCCGTTGCGATTGCGAGATCCTTCACCTGAAAGGTTGTGGAAAAGAATTCAACGGAAACGCGGTTAGTAGTGCATAGTTGGTGTACGAAAATGAGATTTTTACGTAAGGATGGAACACATAGGATATTGGTAAGGTAAAGAGGTCTAGATGATAAAGGGAATGATATTGAACCCGTGTGCGTTATCGGATGAGTGGATCCGTCACCAAGCTCAACTTCATCACCACCGGAGTAGGGCACATGAAGGGAGAGATTGTGTAGATCCGAAGTGATATGATGCGATGCGCCGGAATCGAGAAGCCATGTGGGTGAAGAGACGGCAGTCGGGAGACTCGTGTGATGAGCATGATGTTGCCATGATGTCGGATTGGTGGTTGAACTGGAGAGAGGAGAGCCGAGAAGGCCACCTGAAGAGCGTAGCAAGTGACAACGTTTGGCACTGTGGCCTTGAGTGCCGCATAATTGGAACTTTCCTTGGTAGCCGTGTGTTGGCTTACGGTTTCGTGAGTCCGACAGAGGACGAGCAGAGTGCTGCCACGGAGCGCGAGGGGAGTTGACATGAGACCGTGTCTGAGTGTTGTGGGCGGAGATCGGCATGACAGAGGGCAATGGCTCGGACGCGAGAAGGACAGACTCATGATTCAAGAGCCTTTCATGCATTTCAACAAATGAGATAGGCAAGTCGCGTGCGTTGATGGCGTCCTTGACGGGGCGATACTCTTCTCCAAGACCGGCAAGAACAAGGTCGACTAGATCCTCATGATCTAGAGGCTTGCCAAGTACGGCAAGTTCATCTCCCTTTGTCTTGAAAAAGTGCATATACTCATCAATGGTTTTGCCGCCTTTGGAGAATCGTTTCATATGATCCTTGATCTGTTTTATGTGACCTCTGCTAGATCTCCCGTAGGTTGAAGCAAGTGTGGTCCATGCTTCGCTAGTTGTGGTTGCTCTTGCAATGAGGGCTTGAGAGGGGATCGAGATGGAGCCGAGTAGAGCCGAGAAAATAAGTCGATCCTGGCGAAACCAGGATGCGTACGCAGGGTTGGTTTTCACCACGCCGTTCTCGGTGATTGTCGGAGCAACACTAGTGTCCGCGTCGAGGAAGGATTCAAGGTTGTATCCTTGAAGAAGCGATCGTACTTGGAGACTCCACGTGAGATAATTTGTAGCGGATAGTTTCGACACGTTGTTGACGTTGATGTTGATCAACAATTGCGAGGGGTTTGCTGGATCATATGGCCGAACAGTGTCGGTGGTGGCAGTCGGAGTTGCGCCATCGAAGGCTGTTCCATCAGAAGACATGGTCGATTATGGTTTAAAAAAAAAAAATAAGAAAGAGGGGCTTTGATGTCGTAAAACCAGGCTCTGATACCATAAACGATAGTGTGGAAAAATGTATTTCCTTGTATTAGAAAATATGCTTTACATGAGTGATATATACACATATGAGAGGAGATGATTATGATAACAATATAGCAGATATTGAGGAGAGAATTGATACAGAAATATTAACGACAAGATATTCTATTGACTCCTTCCTTTACTTAATTCTCACAAAGATTTATCAAATTGCACATATTTTAATGTGACGATGAAGTACGTGGGTTTCGTAAGGTAAAAACACGGTTTGATAAAATTATATATATATATGTGATAAAATAAAATAAAATTAGGGTGGGTGTACTATTTATAACGTCTTATGATTGAATCATGTGATAATGTGATAAATTAAAGTTGGAAACTTTAAAATAAAAATGTCGAATATGACAATGATGAGTTGTTTCTTTGATCTCTCACACTCTCTTGATAAAATTATATATATAAACCTCAAAAAAAAAAAAATCTTTTTCTATTTTCGATTGTGTTTTTTTTTTCGGGCATTTTTTTTTTCCAGCTCTTATATATATAATATACCACGATCCTTCAGCTTCTGTCATTGCAGCCCAACGTACATTGCTATTCGCTGTTGATGTAATCGCACCACTTGCCACTTTCTCGTCGTTCAAACAAAACCCTTTTTTCTCTATCTCTTGATTACTGTAAAACCATCAAGTAATTGTTCCATGAATCGTTCTCGAGCTGTTCCAGTGAGATTCGATCTTGTTCCGAGCCTCTCCTCCGGTTTTCCCCATCTGGGTCTTCCTGCATTTTCGTCTTCTGTTCATCGCTTGGCTTGAACTGAGCATGTTCTCCGACATGGGTTTGCCTTGTGCTAAATAGCTCTCTGTCTTCGTTCCCGTACGGGGTTTGAGTTCATTTTCTACCGTTTTGGAGTGTCAGAACACAGAATATCTCCCAAGTGTTTGACAATTTGACACAGAGAAATACAGAGAGGACGCCATGGAAGAGACTTTCGTGCCGTTCGAAGGGATCAGGAATGATCTGAAAGGAAGGCTGACGTGCTACAAGCAAGATTGGACGGGTGGCTTCAAAGCTGGAATTAGGTACTCTCACTGATCTTTACGAGCATATTCTACACTGTTAGAAGTTGTGTTCTTCACTTTTATGGATATTCATAGATAATTTATCAATTTTTTAGGATTCTGGCTCCCACCACATACATATTTTTCGCCTCCGCGATTCCTGTCATCTCATTCGGCGAACAGCTAGAGCGAAACACCGGTACCAAAAAAAAAAAAAGTTTTGAACTTTTGGAAAGTTCTTGGCTTTTAATTCGCCCCAGTTATCAAAGATTACAAATTTTGGTCACTGAGTGATTCGAATTCCGAAAATCTGCAGATGGAGTTCTTACCGCTGTTCAGACCTTGGCTTCTACAGCCGTTTGCGGCATCATACACTCCATTATCGGAGGACAGCCCTTGCTGATACTCGGAGTTGCAGAGCCGACAGTGATTATGTACACTTTCATGTTTAACTTTGCCAAGGAGAGACCAGAGTTGGGTCGCAACCTGTTCTTGGCCTGGTCTGGATGGTGAGTTTCTGTGCTGTATTTATCATCCGTTTCCATTGTGAACTTGCGCAATCGGGTACTGATACATAGTCTTGATCTCTGCAGGGTTTGTGTTTGGACAGCTTTTCTACTGTTCGTGCTGGCGATATTAGGGGCATGTTCCATCATCAACAGGTTCACCCGAGTAGCCGGAGAACTGTTTGGACTGCTTATTGCCATGCTCTTCATGCAACAAGCCATCAAAGTAAGAACATGAACTCTGAATTCTATTTCCAAACCAGAAATCTCGGATTTTCATTCTTGAATAATGCTCGGATCATTCAGGGACTGGTGGATGAGTTTCGTGTCCCTGGCCGTGAAAACGGGAAGCTGCTCGAGTTCACGACTCCGTGGAGGTTTGCCAATGGGATGTTCGCTCTAGTTCTCTCCTTTGGTCTTCTTCTTACTGCACTTAGGAGCAGGAAAGCCAGGTCATGGCGATATGGAACCGGTATGAATAAATGAACCAGTTCATATGTTTCTGTTTAATGATCTGGAATCTCCTCATTTTCAGGATCTGGATCATTAGTTATGCAAACATTTCTTACAAGTGGGGTTTTCTTTTTGTTTCTTTCATCCATTTTTTTATTTGCTTTCCATGAACAGGCTGGCTTAGAAGCTTCGTAGCAGATTATGGTGTGCCATTCATGGTGCTTGTGTGGACTGCTGTCTCCTATATACCAGCAGAAGATGTCCCGAAAGGAATTCCCCGACGACTCTTCAGCCCAAATCCTTGGTCCCCTGGCGCTTATGAGAATTGGACTGTCATCAAGGTTCGTCCTTTGGCTCGAATCTCTCCGACGTTGCCACCCCCCTTATGACAAGTGTACTATACATTAGACTCATCCGGATGACTCTGAAAATTTCAGGATATGCTTAATGTTCCGATTGTTTACATTATCGGAGCGTTCATTCCGGCAACAATGATCGCAGTGCTTTACTACTTCGACCATAGTGTAGCATCGCAGCTCGCCCAGCAGAAAGAGTTCAATTTGAGAAAACCCTCTTCCTACCACTACGATTTGCTTCTTCTTGGATTTCTGGTTCGAATCTACAGAAAAAAACTCCTTATGAATCGATACTAACCGAACTTTGTGTTATATCTGAATGTTTTCCTTTGGTTGTGATTAAAAACACTGATGCAGACTTTAATGTGCGGTCTCGTCGGAATCCCTCCATCCAATGGAGTAATCCCTCAGTCTCCAATGCATACCAAGAGCCTTGCTACTCTCAAAAATCAGGTACTTTATACACAAAGTTTCGTTCTTTCTTTCGGGTTTTCTTTCGAAGAATCGGTGAATCCAAAAACATGAATGTTGTTGCTCTTTTTCTGCAGCTGCTACGAAACAGGCTTGTAAGAACAGCGAGACAAAGCATAAAAACGAATGCAAGCTTGGGACAGTTGTACGGAGATATGCAAGAGGCTTATAACCAAATGCAGACCCCTTTGGTCTACCAGCAGCCTCAAGTGAAAATCATTCTCTAGAAATCTTGTTTCTGTCAATGGAAGTTTGATCTGAGGGATGAAACGAGTGTGAATTATCTTCTGTAGGGTCTGAAAGAGCTGAAGGAATCGACAATCCAATCAACTACATGCACAGGCAATCTCAACGCTCCAGTTGACGAGACTCTGTTCGATATCGAGAAAGAGATTGATGATTTGTTGCCTGTTGAAGTTAAAGAACAGAGATTAAGCAACTTGCTTCAGGCCATGATGGTCGGAGGATGTGTTGCGGCCATGCCTTTCCTCAAAATGATCCCTACTTCTGTCCTCTGGGGATACTTTGCTTTCATGGCCATCGAAAGTTTGCCCGGAAACCAGTTCTGGGAGAGGATCTTGCTTCTCTTCACAGCCCCGAGCAGACGTTACAAGTAACATTTCTAATCTTTTCCATTCCATATACTCAACTTCAAGAAAGAAAAGAAAACCCTTTTGGATGCTTCTCTAGATTTATGAATGATGCTCATTCGCCTCGATTCTTCCGCAGGGTCCTTGAAGATTACCATGCAACGTTTGTGGAAACTGTTCCATTCAAGACAATTGCAGTATTCACCCTGTTTCAGACAGTGTATCTTCTGATATGCTTTGGTCTAACATGGGTTCCCATTGCCGGCGTCATGTTTCCTCTCCTGATCATGCTTTTAGTTCCGGTAATCCATTCCATATACTCAACTTCAAGAAAGAAAAGAAAACCCTTTTGGATGCTTCTCTAGATTTATGAATGATGCTCATTCGCCTCGATTCTTCCGCAGGGTCCTTGAAGATTACCATGCAACGTTTGTGGAAACTGTTCCATTCAAGACAATTGCAGTATTCACCCTGTTTCAGACAGTGTATCTTCTGATATGCTTTGGTCTAACATGGGTTCCCATTGCCGGCGTCATGTTTCCTCTCATGATCATGCTTTTAGTTCCGGTAAGACAGTACCCTCTTCCGAAATTCTTCAAGGGAGCTCATCTTCAGGACCTGGACGCAGCAGAATACGAAGAATCCCCGGCCGTACCTTATAATCTCGCTCAGGTACTGTTCCGTACCACACAATCCAACCCTTTTGCACATACTCCAAGCCCGTTTTTTTTTTTCGCTTCTTAGATTCTAAATCAGTTCTGACGCATTCACAGGAAGGCGAGATCGGATCCACAGCTTCGTATCCGGGCGATGCAGAGATTCTGGACGAGGTTATTACGCGAAGCCGAGGAGAATTCAGACACACGTGTAGTCCTAAGATCACGAGCTCGACTTCGACACCTGCACATCGGAGCCTGTCTCAAGTGTTTAGTCCCCGAGTTAGTGAGTTGAGGGGAGAGACGAGCCCGAGAGTTGCCGGAAAAGGGCAAAACAGTCCGAAACCGGCAACTTTTGGGAAGAGCCCTTTGAACCCGTCGCCGAACTAAAACCCAGCGATCAATAAGAAGCTAATATAATCGAAATAATGATAATGTTTGATTAGTAAAAGTAATTAATCTTAGCTCTAAGCTTCTGAGTTTTTTTTTTCTTTATCCATTTTGATGTTGTGTTGTGTTGTGATGTTCTTGGTCTTGAATTATTGTAACACCTGTCTTCATGTGTTAATTGTGTGCAATGATAATGTTGAAAGATGTAAAAAAAAAAAAAGGACATATCTCTTGACTCTTGAGTTACAGAAATCCGCACACATGAACGGGGCAGTCTTATTTGTTATATATTTTGTTTAAAAGGCCATTTTATTTTCAGTATATTATAAAGTCGATTTGAAATTTTATGGATAAAACTTGATTATTCCTTAGGAGTCTCAATTTAGATCCGAACCTCGGAACCCGCCCCCAATCCAACAAAAAATATCGGGTTTTAGACTTCAAATTTTCGATGTGAAAAAAATCGGGTTTTTGGATTGGTCAACCCTAAAGCCCGATATACTTTATAAGAAAATTAATGCAATAAAAAAATAAATTTTTTTTGGGTAACCGGATATTATGGACCAAGGTCCATACTAATTACAGGATCGAGAGTCAGTCAGGTGATTTGGAATACATGTTCCCTCCAAAATTGAGGTTCGAACTCGGGACGGAACACACGCTTTGCCCCCCATTTTACTGGTTGAACTACCTAAATTTGAATAAAAATAAAAAATGTTAACAATAAAGAAACTGAATGCAACGATCTGATTCTAACCCGGTTTCTATAAAATCAGGTTTCGGGTTTGATTGTATAGACCCGATTTTTTGTCGGACCGATTCGAACCTGAATCAGAAACATTCAAATCGAGTCGGGTAAGATTGGCCCGTACGACAAATAATAAATGTTGGAATTTATTGGAAAAAAAAAAAGATTGGATAAAAATAGAGAGAGAGTGGGAAACATGAATGATCACAAGTGATGTGGTTTTCTCCTTTTATGTGAAGGTAGTGGCTACAAAAGTTAGTCATGTCGCATATGAAGAACAGAAGGAACACATTGGTCAACGGAATCGAACCAGGAAAAGACAAGAGTACGTAGAAGACGTGAACATGTATTATTATTATTATTTTTTTTAATGTGTAAAGTGAAAATAAATGTAATTTGAAAAATAAAAACAAAGTTTTAAGCTTTACGAATAGCAATAATAAGACATTTAAAAGCAAAAGCAATGGTCTGAAATTCTGCTTTGAATAAATCACACTCATGTCATGAAGCAGTAGTTCCCCACACCACATATCTGCATCCATGCATGCATCGCCTCATTTTCTCTTTTGCCCACCAAAATAAAATAAAATTGTTGGTGTAATCACGACGACCACCTTGTGTATATAATATAACCCTTCCATAAAAAAAAAACAATGCAAACTCATTCCATATTCATAAGGGTTATATTTTCAAACCCTAGATTGTTAGTCGTATTCATAATGTTGGCGCATAGCAAATTTAAAAGAGAAGGACTTTTTATACATACATTTTTCTTATGTTATGTTTTTATATGAGAGAATTTTCGGATATCCAAATAATATGTTCAAATAAAAGCAATTGGTTGGTGGCGAACAAAGAGGAGGATATGGCATTATTTCTCTCTTTATTTCCTTTAGGGTAAAATCGGCCATGGACTCGTGGAATGAGGTGTTCACATCATTGATATTCCTCATGTCTCTAAATAATGAACTCATAAGGTCCAAATAATGTAATGATATGTTTGTCTTTGTGTTGGGTCTCTCTCTCTCTCTCTCTCTCTCTCTCTCTCTCTCTCCATAGCAACAACATCAGCAGCTTCGCAATCAGAATTTGATGAGACGGATTGGACATCCTCGTTGACCTCTCCGCCCACGTTTCGACATCTTAACTATATCGATGTTATGATTTATACCACATGTAATGATTGTTTAGTTAAGTTAATGTAGGTTTATGGAATTTAAATCTATAATTAAGTGAATACAAGTAAAAGATTACATAAAAATATTCCACTTTGATCGAAAACGAGCGAGCAAGGGAACCCATTTTACCAATGGGCCTTTCTAGCAATCTTAGCGATCGAATTCGATGGGCTTGTCGGCCCAATCTATCCATATCTTCAGTCCATCCCTACAGCCTTTTTGTAGTTAACATAAAACCATCATATAAACCATGAAGTTTACATATCCAATCTGTAAATTTAATTTAAATTTAAAATATGAAAATCCAAAAAAATAGATCTATAGTATTTATTTGATTTTTTCAATAAAATAGCTTTCCATTTTTTTTTAGAAAAAACAAATATATAAAGTACTGACTTGATTTTATATTGATTTTTAGATTAAAAAATTTGGAAAAATCTAGTCATTAATGCTCCAGAATTGCTGGTTTTAATGTTTTGTGAGGAGTTGGACATATATTAAAATATTTTCTAATATTACTAATAATTATAATCAGTTTATAATTGGTCATATCTAGGATTATTGCGGGCACTTAACTTCTTGGTCCATGATTAAATAAATATTCGCACAATAATTGGATGCATGAATATTGAATATGTAAACTCAACTCGTTTTTATTTTCCTTGTACCAACAAATAAACTTTCAGAAGACAAAAAAAAAAAAAGAGAACTGACGTGGCACGATGAACATTAAACATCTTGCTACAAATTTGATTATTCTAATCATACACTAAAAACAAAACTAATATTTATTTTTTTACATTTTAATCCTTTTTTCTAGAAAAAAGTTTAATACGCTCCCGTCATCATCCATATTGGAAACCCACGAGGACAGGTCTAGACTCCTCTGGGCCGTCGAAAAGCTCGAATCTACGTGTAAGTGGGCCCAGCTGGCGATTTTGACGGTCCAGATTTAAGCCCAATATTAATTCTTTAGGAATAGTAAGGGTAATATTGTCAATTTAGTGCGTTCCCCTCCAACAAGCCACGTAAAGCAAGTGTGAACACGGTAATGCTCTTGAAGATTCGCAGTCGGCAAGACCTTAAACTTCCCAAAATATCCCCCACATAAATAATTGAATTACATGAGTTACCCCCACATAGTAATAAAAAGTCAGCGGTAGTTGGGAGGTGAGGGGAGGATGATTCGGTCATTTCGTGGAATCGTTGTCTTTTAGACGAGTCCAATGGCTACGCGTCAAAGCCAAATCTCCACGAAGATGACACGTGGCATCCGAGAGGGCTTTGTCGTCGCCGTGTGTAATCCACACACTAACTACAAAAATCTACAAATGCAACGCTTAACCGCCACGTGTCCGTTTCTTAACCTGTAGGCACCGGTCACCTGTAATCCGCGGCATCGCCGTATATAAAATCAGCGGCAGCCCACGCGTCCCAAAGTTTCCGCGCCCCAGAGGGAAATAAGAAAGAAAAAAGAGCAAACTTTGAAATTTCAAGGAAAGTGAGAATCCGAGAAAGTTTTTGAAGAAATTTAACATTTGGTGGAGAAAATTTTTGGTTGGATTGTCGTTGTTGTGATTTCATGAGAAGAGAAGATGGTGGCTGAAGCAGAGGTTGTTTTTCAACAGAGCTTGCCGGTTCTGGATGTGCAGTTGTTCGATGGCTGCGCCGCCGTCAAATCGCCGGTTTCTTCGCCAAAGCTTGGGATGCGTCGCTCGGCGGCTTCGGTCTCCGCCGACTTGTCGACTTCTCCGGTGGTAAGTGATGAGTAGAATCTTTACCGAATTAGGATTCGTAGATTTTGTCAAAGATGTTGTAGAATACACTTGGGATTTGCTTAATATGAACAGCGGGATTTGGGGGCTACTTCCTACCTGTAACTAGCTGTATGACCTAGGTTTTACTCGTCCAGAATTAGCAAAAATGAATAAATTATGTGTTTGATTCAGACATGGTGTTCGATTTCGGGGGTCGGAGAATCTAATGCACCTGAAGAATGGCGAAATTGGCCATAGATCGATTAGTCGAGACGCTAAGGAAGTAGAAAAAGATGACTGTTATGTCGGTGGATTGATTGTATGTCTTTCTTGTCTCAAGAAGGATTTGATGCTACTTCGTAAATCACGATGATGTATTCGTGTTTATCAGTGGAGAAGACAAAACTGGAATATCTGATACAACCTTGTATGTTTTCAGGGTCTAAGAGTTGCAGATCCTTTTCCGGGGGATGATTGCTATTCGAGTGTCTCCGTGTATCTCCCGACCATCCGGTCTGGAAGCTGTGCCGACATTGGGCCGAGGAGATTCATGGAAGACGAGCACATTTGCATAGACGATCTGCCCTCCCACGTTCGGTCTCTCTCTGAGCTGCCAAAGCCGAGTGCTTTCTACGCGGTAATTCATCCATCTATACTTTCCCCTGTATCTTATTTGATGGAGTTATGTCATAACATGGAGATGTCTAATGACGCGATATGACTGTATATAGGTTTTTGATGGCCATGGAGGACCAGAAGCAGCCTCTTACGTACGGGAAAACGCCATTAGATTCTTCTTTGACGATGCTAAGTTTCCACGAACATCGTCAGAAGTGGACAGTGTTTACTTGGAAGAAGTCAAGGGCTCGTTGAGAAATGCCTTCCTTCAGGCTGATCTTGCTTTGGCTGACGACCACAATGTCAGCTCGTCTTCTGGCACCACCGCCCTCGTCGCCCTTATTTTCGGGAGGTACAGGCTCGTTTCGATGTTTGAATTTTGATATCTGTTAGTAAGATATGGGATATTTGGTGGATAAATTCATATGATCATACATGAATATCAAGATTTCAAGATTGCAGATAACTTGGAAAGTCTGATGGATATGAGAATGGTGTTGTTTTGCTTATCCACTGATCTTGTTTGCCCCTCTCTTTATGCAGACTTCTAATGGTGGCGAATGCAGGCGACTGCAGAGCGGGTCTCTGCAGAAAGGGGCAAGGCATAGACATGTCTCAGGACCACAGACCGATCTATCCACCTGAAAGACGGAGAGTCGAAGAATCAGGCGGCTTTAAAGGGGAAAAGCCATAGACATGTCTCAGGACCACAGACCGATCTATCCACCTGAAAGACGGAGAGTCGAAGAATCAGGCGGCTTTATCGACGACGGTTATCTAAACGGGGTCTTGTCCGTGACCCGTGCTCTCGGCGACTGGGACATGAAACTCCCCCGTGGCAAGCCATCTCCTCTCATAGCCGACCCCGAGATCCGTCAGATAACCCTGACCGAAGACGACGAGTTTCTCATAATCGGATGCGATGGAGTCTGGGACGTGATGACGAGCCAGCAGGCCATCTCCATTGTGAGGAGGGGGCTGCGTCGGCACGACGATCCCACCAGGTGCGCGAGGGAGCTCGTGATGGAGGCCTTAAGGCTCAAGACGTTTGATAACTTGACTGTGGTCGTGGTCTGTTTCTTGTCGGGAGATGAGCCGTCGCCCTCGCTGTCGCGGCTGGAGAAGCAGCAACGGTGTTGCAGCCTTACGCCGGAGGCTTTCCAGAGCCTGAGGAGCCTACTGGATGGATGAAATAGATGATGACGAATAATTATAAATGTTTTTTTTTTTTGGGGGACGCTGCTCTGCGTTGGGGAGAGGAGGTTGTGGGAGCAGCTTGCAGTTTTGAGATAACCCTTTGTTGTTTATTATTATGCTTGTCTTGTATTTACGTGGTTACATTTACGTGTATATACTTATTTCGTGTTGTATATAATATGTTATTTTCGTGGACTCGAAGTATGGGATTATATACGATTTTGCTGCGGCAGCAAACACAAGTGGGGAAAATCACCCAAATAACCCTATTTACGTCGCAATCTATTTCAGTGTACTACCACATAAAGAAAAAAAAAATTCAATTTTAACCCACTTTTCGGTTGAAAAAGTCCGAAATACCCTTTTCGTTTTATTTTTTGCGATCTTATTACGACTAACATATAACTGATATACAACTAAAAATAAGACAGATGATTTTTTGCCAACTTTTTTAGAATCAATTGTAACTATATTTAGACTTAATTACGAAGTCGTAATAATGAAGTTGTTTTGAACGGATAAATATCATAATTCATTAAGGGTAATTTCGTCTTTTCGTAGGGAAAAAAATGTGTTATGTTTTCGGTGGTGGTGTATGGTGGTGTATAGGTGAAATAGATGCGACCCAATTGGGTTATTTGGGGTAAAAAACCCACACAAGTGCGATACCTTTTAGAAGACAAGCCTTCAGTTTTTGTAAATGTGTCACACGTCCTCAGAAACAAATGTAACTGCACAAACCAAATAACGATCCGGTGGTGCCAGCGGCATTGGAGCCGCAGCCGTTAAGAGTGTTCGCTGAACACGGCGCTCGGGTCCTCATAGCCGACGTACAAGACGACCTGGGACCAACAGTCCCAGTTTCCATAGGAATCCACAAAACGAATGTGTTTGAACAGGACATCAATGAAATCAGATGCAATTCAAACCATTTTGATGTCCATAAAACCTAGAAATTCATCATACTAGGTACGAATGTTCAACATCGAATCCTTTAACAACGAAGTACTCAAGAAAAAAACCAAATAGAAAAAAAAAGTTTTATCAAAAGACATAGATCTGTCGAAACGCGATTCACTCGTCGCCACCGTCTTTCTGGTAAACGTAGGTGAGGCCACACTTACCGCAGTAGTGACGGTCGAAGTGACTCGCCATGAAAGTTCCCGCACCGCAGTTCGGGCACTCCTTCCTGAGACGCTGAACCTTGTTCGATCCGTCGACCTTGTAGAACTGGAGGACAGCGAGCTTGACCTTCTTGTGCTTGTGCTTGATCTTCTTCGGCTTTGTGTAGGTCTTCTTCTTCCTCTTCTTGGCGCCACCACGGAGGCGGAGGAAGAGAGGAAGTGAACAGCTGAAGCAACTGGTCGTCGAATTTGCAGTAGTCGTTCTCCTTCGCATGCATCTTCCTCTCGTACACCCTCGGGAAGAACTTTACCAGGAAGTCATTCATCGCCGTCACTCCTCCTGCGATTAGGGTTTCGGTTACTTGCGTGGAAAGTAAACAGAAACAAAAGCAGTGTACAATAACTGAAGAAACCAGTACCTGAGATGCCGATGTCGTAACCGAACATGAGGCCTCCGCAGGCGGCGAAGCACCAGCAGAAGATGACGTAGATCAAACTCTTCAATGTCTGATCCGTCTTCATCTTTGACGTGAAAAATCTGGCGGGATCCCTTCCTTGTCCTGGATCTTCGCCTTCACATTGTCGATGGTATCCGAGGATTCGACCTCTAGGGTTATGGTCTTCCCCGTTAGGGTTTTCACGAAGATCTGCATCTCTGCTGCGGCGTGACCAATTTCTCTTCTGAGGGGAGGAAAATAAAGGAGTAGGGGGATGCTAGGGTTTTAAAGGGTGCGGCGCTGCTCGTCAATTACGTAATTATAACTGGGTTTTCTGGTTTGGGCTTTGGACTGGGCTTTTTGGACTTTGGGTCTCATATCCACTGAATTAGGGCTTACATCAGGCCCACGTATGGTTAAAACAAAACAAAGACCAACCTAAATGATTAAATTCAAGGTTAACATGGCTTCCCGGTTAAGAGGGCACCGGTCCGGTACCGGTTGAAGTTTGAGCCGGCTGGGCCGCTTGGTTGGTCAGTGCCTTGTTTACTTCAATATCACAAACTCAACTCACAAGCGCATTTTGGTAAATTGGTATTTGACTCATGAGTCATTGATTGTATCATTTTATGCAGGGCCAGTGCTTTGTGTTACTTCTAACTTCTATCTCACATACCCAACCACACTTTATTCTAATTAAAATTCTAATCTTCTAAGATATAATTGAATTGATACGAGAGTTTTTAAATAAAATAAAAAATATTAATTCGACAAACTAATGCAATTTTATCTAAAAACTATCGGTTCCGTTTAAAACACAATTCTAAAAACCAAATCAAGCCCCATTTATTGATTCTCATTAGAAACCCCAGTTTTCTAAATAGAACATTTTCTAATTGCTTAATGAATGGTTTAGAGGGTGCATATATATATATATATATGTTTATATAAGAGGGAAATAAGAGTTTATTATTTTCTTTAAATGAGTATCAACGTCTCCACTTCGGATAGGGGTGGACATTTTAGTTCAGGACCGAATCCGAACTAGACCGAACCGAATAACGTTTGGTTCTAAGATACACTTTTTATGGAACCAAATGAACCGTTCTCAAACTAAACCGTGTAAATACCAAACCAAACCATATGAATACCGAACTAAAATTCAAATATTCCACTAATATATGTATAAATACTATAGTTTTGGTACTTATTTGGTATTCATATAATGTTACCGTTCCGAACCGATACTAAAACCGAACCGAACCGTTTAACATTCGGTTCTAGTTTGATACACTTTTTATAAAACCGAAAATACCGCTTCCGAACCGAACCGAAACCTGAAACGCCCACCCCTAGCTTCCTAGCTTCGGACATGGAATAGCATCAGCAATCAGCAATGAGGAAGAGTTCTGCAACGCCACAGGGAATCCGAAAGGCATGGCGCTGAAGGCTTCGCCATGTGGCAGAGGCAGCATTGTTCATGGCCTCGGACGGGTCGGCTTACGTCCGCGGCCGCAACTCGGTGGTGAGCGGGGGTTACTCGGTGGTCAAACAACCTCCTTTAGCCCAATAAACTCACAAAACGTTTGTATTTGTAAAACCCTAAAAATTATGCCCTAAATTTCATGGACCAATCACAAAACTCTGAATAATATCGTTCTCAAATTCATATGAACAAGACATCAATGTAATCAGAAGCAATTCAAACAATAGCGAGCAAAAGACTTCGATATCCATTAAAAAACTAGAAATTAATCACGCTCAGTACGAATATCCAGAACCAAGGTTGTTAAACATAGGATCCTTTAACAAGTACTCAAGAAAAAAACACATAAAAAAAAGCGTTTATCAAAAGATAGAGATCTATCGAGACGCGATTCACTCGTCGCCTCCGTCTTTCTGGTAAACGTAGGTGAGGCCACACTTACCGCAGTAGTGACGGTCGAAGTGACTCGCCATGAAAGTTCCCGCACCGCAGTTCGGACACTCCTTCCTGAGACGCTGAACCTTGTTCGATCCGTCGACCTTGTAGAACTGGAGGACAGCGAGCTTGACCTTCTTGTGCTTGTGCTTGATCTTCTTCGGCTTGGTGTAGGTCTTCTTCTTCCTCTTCTTGGCGCCACCACGGAGGCGGAGGACGAGGTGAAGCGTCGACTCCTTCTGGATGTTGTAGTCGGCGAGGGTGCGGCCGTCTTCAAGCTGTTTCCCGGCGAAGATCAGGCGCTGCTGATCCGGCGGGATCCCTTCCTTGTCCTGGATCTTAGCCTTCACATTGTCGATGGTATCCGAGGATTCGACCTCTAGGGTTATGGTCTTCCCCGTTAGGGTTTTCACGAAGATCTGCATCTCTGCTGCGGCGGTGACCAATTCTCTTCTGAGGGGAGGTGATTAAAAGAGATCGAGGGGCGGGTGCTAGGGTTTTGAAGGGTAGGGCGCTGCTGATTAATTACGTAACTACCACTGGGTTTTCGGTGTGGGCTTTGAACTGGGCTTTTTGTACTTTGGGTCTCATACCCTCATCGCTGAATTCGGGCTCGCGTCAGGCCCAACTATTGTTAAAAAAAAAAAACAATCCAATTATATAATGGATTCCCGGTTAAGAGTCTACCGGTCCGGTTCTGCTTCAACTGTTGAGCCGGCTGGTCCGCCTAGTTGGTGGCTGCCTTGTTTACTTCAATGTCAGTCAAGTCACAGCGCTTTTGGTAAATTGGTATTGAGTCATTCGATTGTCCTTTTTATGGAGGGTCAGTTGCTCCAAACCCCACTTTATTCTCATTAATATTTAATATCTTATTAGATATAATTGAGTTGATAAGAGAGTCTTTCAAATAAATAGAAAAAAATATTTATTAGTTATAAAAAAAACTTGCACAATTTTATTTTAAAAAAGACAGATTTGTTTAAACACCCGAAATCAAACCCTATTTTTGGAATTATCATTATAAGCCCCATTTTTCTAAATAGAACATTTTAAACCCTATATATACACTAGCCACCAACCGCGTTAGCCACGAGGGACGTGGTGAATGGCATGGAAGCCGTCGAGCTGGGAAACCGGCTGGGGTTGGTGAGTGACCGGTGGTCCCCGGTAATTACCCGGAAAAAAAAGGCAAGCCTCGCATCTGGCAATTAAATTAAAAATATGCTATAATTGATTTCAAGATCCGCATCCGGTGAATGTCCTTTTCCATCACCAACAACTACTGCATATCTCAACCGTTGAAGTTTTCATCCGACGGCCGTGTTTCACCCCACGCATAAATCTTTCAGATCTAAGTTTCCACTAACAAATGCAGGATTACACCGAAGACAAAAAAAAAATTTGTTGTGTAATTGTTATTATTATTTGGGTAAAAATACACATTTGATTCCACTCAATATTTTATATCATTAGATAGAACCGCAATTAAATATCCGAAATCCGAATAGAATAAAGTTAAGGATGAATTAGAAGAAAATCTTTAGACATTCGTCCGCCCATATACGTAAACTAATAAAATATATATATATAACAAATTACTGGTGTTCAAAATGTGAACCAATTATTATGATTAATAACATCTTTTGTGGATATAAAAAATATATGCACTTTTTTGTTTAGGAATCAGAGGATGAAATGAATGTATATTGTTCTGAATAGAAAATTTTAAACCGGTCCATCCGGTGAGCCGGTATATCGAGACGAATTTCCTATAAAAGGAAGGCGTGCGGAGCGTGAAGAGCCGTGCCCAGTGCTTCGGTGTCGGCTGCATCTGCTCCTCTGAGATTTCGTCGCCAACTTTCATACACTCTCTCTCCACAGGTCCTCTCTCTCTCTCTCCTCCTCTTCTCTTTCGCTCTCCACTTGGCTTGATTTTTCGTCAGATCTGTGCCGATGTTGTTGCTGCTTGGTTTTTGGGGTTTCAGAGACATTTGAGCTCGCACTTGATTGTTTTTTTAATGCTATGGAGTTGTTCGGTTCTAGTTTTGTTTTGGATAGTATTCACTCTAGGATCCGCGGTCTTCACGGGATTCTGTTTGCGGCCATTTTTGGGCGAATCTGCGATTTGATAGTAACATTTTCAAGGATTTTTTAGTTCATGTTTCCGATTTTGATTTTGATTCTGATTCGGTTCTAGAATCTAACGCAACCTTTACGCTACTATGGAATCTTTGGTTTCCCATGATGAATGGATTTATGACATGGCATGCACTTTTGTGTCTTGATATCCATGGTACCTTGTCATCGGTAAACAGATTGTGATTTCCCGATTTGAGATTTCTCTTTTGTGGATTGTAGCTTGTAAGAAATGGAGTCCTTTCTATTCACATCCGAGTCTGTGAACGAGGGACACCCGGACAAGCTGTGTGACCAGATATCTGATGCTGTTCTTGACGCCTGCCTTGAGCAAGACCCCGACAGCAAAGTTGCGTGTGAGACTTGCACAAAGACCAACATGGTCATGGTTTTCGGAGAAATCACCACCAAGGCCAAGGTTGACTACGAGAAGATAGTCCGCGACACATGCCGCAACATCGGATTTGTCTCCGACGATGTGGGTCTTGACGCTGATAACTGTAAGGTGCTGGTCAACATTGAGGAGCAGAGCCCCGACATTGCTCAGGGCGTCCATGGTCATTTCACCAAGCGCCCTGAAGAGATCGGAGCCGGTGACCAGGGTCACATGTTCGGGTACGCCACCGACGAGACCGCCGAGTACATGCCCTTGAGTCATGTGCTTGCCACAAAGCTCGGTGCCCGCCTCACTGAGGTCAGGAAGAACGGAACTTGCCCTTGGGTGAGACCTGACGGTAAAACTCAGGTGACGGTTGAGTACATCAATGAAAACGGTGCCATGGTCCCTGTCCGTGTCCACACCGTCCTCATCTCCACCCAGCACGACGAGACTGTCACAAATGACGAGATTGCCCGTGACCTGAAGGAGCATGTGATCAAGCCTGTCATCCCCGAGAAGTACCTGGATGAGAAAACCATCTTTCACCTCAACCCATCAGGCCGGTTCGTCATCGGTGGACCACATGGTGATGCTGGTCTAACCGGACGGAAGATCATCATCGACACATACGGTGGTTGGGGGGCTCACGGGGGTGGAGCCTTCTCAGGAAAAGACCCGTCAAAGGTGGACAGGAGCGGAGCTTACATTGCCAGGCAGGCTGCTAAGAGCATTGTGGCGAATGGGCTTGCTCGGAGGGCGCTAGTTCAGGTCTCGTATGCGATCGGAGTGCCGGAGCCATTGTCGGTGTTTGTGGACACATACGGGACTGGTAAAATCCAGGACAAGGAGATTCTGAAGATTGTGAAGGAGAATTTCGACTTCAGGCCGGGAATGATGTCCATCAACCTCGACCTCAAGAGAGGTGGCAGTGGCAGGTTCTTGAAGACAGCTGCATACGGCCACTTTGGTCGGGAGGACCCTGACTTCACCTGGGAAGTGGTCAAGCCTCTCAAGTGGGAGAAACCTCAGTCTTAACTCTTAAGCCACAGAACACATTTCCCTTCTCCTCTCTTCGTCCTGTTTTCTTTCTTTCAATTCTCACTCTTACGTATTCTGATGTTTTAAGACTTCGTGTCTGTGTTCTGCCCTTGGATCTCATCCCTTTTTATTTCTCTTCTCGTCTGGTTCTTTTTATCGAATGTTGTAATGTACTTTGGTAACGAGCTTCTGTCTTGAATCTGTCGAATGTTGTAATGTACTTTGGTAACTCAAAGGCTGATTAGTTTAGTTACAGTGTTTCAAATTCTGACTTCCACAATTTTTAGAATTGTAACCAATCCATTACGAATCATACAAAAGTCGGCCAATAAACCCGAAGGCTCCGCACGCGTCTCCGCCCCTTTGACACGGAATCCGGTCAAAGTGAGTCTCTGACTCGGCGCTCAGTCGTTGCCGAGGCATCTCTGCCCAAACTGGGCCGGGGACTTTCATGGGGTAAAACCCATTTACGGAGGAAAAGCCCATTCACTTTTGTTTTTTTAACGATTTTTTCAAAAAGTGTTTTTTTTTTTTAAATTCACACCGTACCTGCACAGGCCACAGGGTAGGGTACAATGGTTTTTTTAATTATAAATTCGTTTTTAAAATCTCAGAAAGCCCGACGTACACGAGAGCACAGAGGATCGTCGATGAACACAACACGGCGGCGGCTGATAAGAAGGGAGAGAATAATTGAACATAGATTCCTCTGCGATCTCAGTGTTTGATGCAGAAGTAAGTGTTGGCGGGGGCGATGAATGCGGCGGCGGCGGAAGGAGATGAGGAGACGGCCGAGGCGCAGTACGTTAGGGCGAAGACTTCGGTCTGGTGGGACATAGAGAATTGCCAGGTTCCTAAGGGCTTGGACGCTCACGGGATTGCGCAGAACATCAGTTCGGCGCTGGTGAAGATGAACTACTGTGGTCCTGTCTCCATCTCCGCCTATGGCGACACTAATCGTATCCCTCCCTCGATTCAGCATGCCCTCTCCTCCACCGGAATCGCACTCAATCACGTTCCCTCTGGTTCTTCCCTTTCTTTCTTCTTCTCTCTCGCCCCCTTTGTTCGTTTGCGGGTTCTTGTATCTTGAAGCGCTCGTGTTGAGTGCTTCTTCCCCTTCTGCATTTCGGTGATTTTGTGTGTTTAGTTCAGTTACCTATTGGTTAGAGTTTGATTTTGGCTGGACCCTTTTAGGGTTCTTGCCATCTGGGGTTGGTTTGTACTCGTGATGTCATTGCAAGGGATTGAATTTGCTGTGGCCCTATGGACAGACAAGTATATCCATTGTGAATCATGAACTGTGGAGTTTGCTTTCTTTTGGAAAATTTATGTAAACCCAGTTGGTAGATTATTACATTTAAAAATGTTTTGAACCAAACAGTACTGATCTGATGTAAGGCTATGTCTGTCTCAGGGGTGAAAGATGCGAGTGACAAGAAGATTCTGGTGGACATGTTGTTCTGGGCAGTGGATAACTCTGCGCCTGCGAATTTTATGCTCATTTCCGGTGATAGGGACTTCTCTAACGCCCTTCACCAGTTGCGTATGAGGAGGTACAATATTCTTCTTGCTCAGCCCCAGAAGGCCTCAGCCGCTTTGGTTGCTGCTGCAAAGACTGTTTGGCTTTGGACCAACCTGGTAGTTGGAGGACCACCTCTCAGCCGAGGTGAATCCTCTCAACTTGTCCCCAATGGACGTTTTCCTTCTGACTCTGAGGTATCATCTCATCCGGGTTCTGAACAAGTTTTGTCCAGCCAATCCGTGGATCCAAATTCGGATGCCAGAAGGATTCTAGATAACAAAAACAAAGTAAACTATATTCCAAAACCATCAAGTCCGGCTGCCATGTCGAGGTTTCAGGAAAGCAAGCAACCTGCACAAGGAAAGCAGTTTAAGAAAGCTCCGCATGAGTTCTTTGGCAGAAGTGACCTGGTTTCTACAAGCTGGCCTGCTACTAATATTTTACCTAACACCACCCCTTTGGGCAATACCATCAACAGCGTGACTAGTCATCCTCAGAATCATTACCATTATCCTCCTACTGTTCGGCCAAGTCCTCTACCCGTGCAACAGCCTTACCATAACCCTGACCCTTCCTGGAATGGTGGAAATAACATCTCAAACAATGGTCAGAACCATTACCCTAATCCTGCAATGCCAGGTGGATTTGCTGTACGGCCGAGTTATGGCCCGGATAATCTGCAGCCTCCTATTGGTAATGGTTTCCGTCCAAGAAATGACGGTCCTAGATTTCCTGTTGCTTCTGCTACGAATTTACCTGACATCAGCAATCTAAGTTTGTCTCAGTATCCAAATCATTTTCAGAGTTATCCTAATTTCAATCCTCAAGCCAGACAGCAGTTCAGACCGAACGTTCAGTTCCCCTATCCTCCTAGATTCAACGGCCCGAATGACAGATATGTTACACAAAGTGGCCAAGCAATTCATTCATGGGTTCCAGGCAATGCTATGTGGGGAAATCCACCATCTGAGCATGTGCAAGGCCTTATTGATGTCATCTTGTTTGCTTTAAACACCTTGAAAAATGAAAAACTCATGCCTACAGAGCCTAACATAGCTGACTGCATTCGATATGGAGATCCCAATCACCGTGGTACCGACGTCAAGAAGGCTTTGTACAGTGCTATAGAGCATCACATGATCGTGGTGACAAATGTGGGTAAACTAAAACTCTACATTCGCAGATACGAGGCTCTGTGGAAGTGTGTAAATCCTTTGGAGGGAGACCAAAAGCAATACCCAAAAGCAACTTGGGATAGAATTCGCCGATATCTAACCTCTTCTTCAGGGCGGCTGGCTATTACAGCAACTCAGTGCAGGTAGAAAACTGTCTGCCTCCATATGTCCTTCGAGCTATGCACCTCTTGCTGTGGTTAAAATTGTTTTCATTGGCTCGGGTACTACAGGTTTGAAGCTGCACAAGTTCTGAAAAGGGAATGTCTTTACGAGCTTACTTTGGGCGATGTACTTCAAATCCTGAATATAACAGCGACATCGAAGAAATGGATTGCTCATCACCAATCGGGATGGCAACCCGTTACTATTACCGCTGCTGCGGAAGATACAGACGAGGTATGACTCTATCGACGTAACGAAGAAGGTGGCTACTCTGTTTACAAAGGATAGATAGATATATGTAGTAGCAAAGATAGGGAACTAGAGGTGTGGACAGTATTTCAAGTTCAGAAGCTAGAGGAGAAGGCTTAATAGCAGATGGAGCAATACCCATCCTTCACATGCTGAATTGTTTTTTTTTTTCATTTTCGAATTGCGTGGAGATTCTGAAAATTGAATTTTCTGCATCTGCCATTTCTCTGCTAATCATCCCAATGCCATTTTCGGACAGGATTTTGTGTTTCTATGTAGTACGTTTACTCAAGCCCCTTGAATTTTTTTTTTTTTTTTTTTTTTGGTTGGTTGATGGAACGAAATATAACTTCCAAACAGATGTGGTATCAAAATGGCAAAGGGCGCGGTTCCGTACTATTTTACGCCCTATATTTATAGAAAAAAATGAAATTTTGTTAAGAAATTGTGGTGTTAGAAACTCCGGTAAAAATAGTAGACCGGATATTGGCAATGGCATGGCCCAACACCAAAGCACAAATCCCTCTCAAACAATCATTTTTTAAAAAAAAAAAACATTAAAACGCATAAAACCCACCTCCTATTATTAGAGTAACTACGTATCCTCTTACACATATACGGTCATATATATATAATCAATCTTGTCTGCCTCGATTTCTCTCTTCCTTTCCAATCCACGGCCCTTCCCCGTTTAGAAAAAAAATTAAAAAAAAAAATATGAAGACTCCGACCAAACTCGCGTTCTCCGTTCTCGTCTTGGCCGCGGCGGCAGCCACGGTCATCGCTGTGCCGGCCAAACCCGACACCGACAGCAAGGTAAATTACGTGTTCACCCCTCATGCAAAAGCCGTGGCCGGGATCTGCCGTGTCGTGCAAGACAAGCGTCTCTGTTGCAAAACCCTAAAAAACGTCCCAACCGACGACCCCATCCAGCTCATCAGATCCATGGCTTCCGCTGCTGAGACCGAAGCCAAAAACAGCCTGAAATTCCTCGACGGGATCAAACCAAAGTACAAGGGCAAGGAGTTTGCCATCAACAGCTGCGAGAAAAAAATTAATTACGCGCTGGATGATTTCTCGGATTTCTGGAAACTGGCCGGGAAGGATCTGACGAGCATGGCGAAGAATTACTTCACGTGCAAGCAGAAGATAACTTCGATCTTCGGATACTACTCGACATGCCTCGACGACATGAAGAACGTCGACAAGAACCTTAAGAAAGAGGTTGAAAGTGGGATCGGTCTGGGGAAGAATCTGAGCGGTGAGGCTTTGGATGTTTACTCTGGTTTGAATGATATCTTCAAGGGCTTCGGCATTAAGGCGGCGCTTAACGACAAAGGAACCGACTCCTTGGAACCGCCTCCCATTTCGTACTATTACTACTGATGAAGAATACGTATGTACGACGTCGATGGCGACTTGAACGTAGGACGGGTTCTGTCTGTGATGTATTGTTATTATTATGGTACGTGTGCGTTATAGGGAATACATATATGGGGCCGGATTGGAAAGGATGGAAACGCGGTGATCAAATACTGTTGATCTTGTTTGGTCCACGTATATAATATGTTATTAATTCTTTGCGCTACAAACAATCATTTATATATATATATATATTGTACATTGAATTATTGATAATATACTATATGGTGCTTAATTATTTATGCGAGCCTTCCATATTCACACCCACACGTGACACTCCTTATTTAAACAAATGTAACGGATATTGTTACAGATCTAATCCTGGTTCATATATATATATATATATATATGGAAACGACCGTGGTATGTCCCAATATTTTACCAAAAAAAAAACTCTTAATTTCATCCTATCTCTATTTTCTGAAAGTATAGCATAAATTATGGAAGCTAAGTTAGACTGGCCATTATAAAAAATATCTTTATTTTGTTATTTTTATTTTAACATATATCTTTTATTTTCAGTTGTGACCATGTGATTCGAAATATAGTGTGGTCATATATTGATCTCATTATTTATAACGTTAAATTTATAATGTTTTAATCAAATAATTAGTAAGATATATAAAGTATAAACATAATGAATTAGTGTGATCACCATAAATTTAACGTTATAATCAATCAAAATGTGACCACACTGTATTTTGGGTCATATGGATTACATGGTCACAAATGGAGAATAATATATAGTGAAATAAAAATAGCAAAATAAATATATATTTTTTTTATATAATGCCAAGTTAGACGGTCTGCCGAATACAACATGTATGTATGAATAGGTGATCTACAACTTCATTATGGAATACTAGTAACCTAAACCTTTTTTGATATAAATAATTAGAGAACATTACTTTAATTTTATTGGGATGATACTAATTTTTATTATTTTGATATAAACAATTTAGATAGTCAAGATTATGTTCAATATATAGCTGCGTATATACGTTACCTTAGCGCTACTAACCTAAATCTTTTTTTTATAGGAGAGTCCCTTGCTCAGAGGTCTACCCCATATTTAGAATAAGATCTCAATACGATAATTATATTAGATGTTACCAATGGAGATGCGGATATATAATTTGAAAACAGTTCTAGGTCATTTCCAGGAAAAATATTTCACATCTTGTTTTAGATTAACAATTTTCGGACGGATAATTGCACTAGAGGTGTGTATTTACCAGTTATTAATTACCATTCCTTTTTACGATACTATATTTTTTTTTGTTTATGTTTATTTTTAGTCGTAATATGACCTGCTAATCAGGATGTTTGATTATCCTGTGGCGACCAAATTAAAACCTCACAGTTAACTCGCACGCGAATACAAGCCTTTGACCATAAAATTTCAGCCACTAGAGGGCCGCAAAACTCTCCTCCATGCAAAATCCATGCATGCACGTAAAAAAAGAAAACCCTAATTTTAGAAACTAAACGACGTATAAGAACCTCCACAGTGCATCTCCATATCTCCTGGCACAAGTAGTTTGATCGACTTGGCTTTGTTCGAATAAAGCCCCTCCCTCTCCGATTGTACTATCAAATAAAACCGGAGAGAGAGACCGAAAATTTAAAAAAAAGGAAAAAAAAAAGGAAAAAAAGGAGAAAAAAATGATTGGAAAGGTCGTAGTGTCGGTGGCTTCGGTCCTACTGGTAGTGGGAGTGGCCATAGGAGTGGTGGCGGTCGTGAAGAACAACAACAGCCACGAGACGCCATTGACGCCGCAGATGAAAGCGGTTC